ATGATTTGTTATCTGTATCTCAAAATTATTTACTTGAATTACGATTACTTTAAATGAAGTTTTTCTTTTAGATAGCAGTAGTCTTTAAGAACTTGATGCAGAGACTTGGCTTTGAAAAGTTTTATGTTCAAGGAGGAGATTGGGGATCTGTTATCGCCTCCAACATGGCTGTCCTTTATCCAGAAAAGTTAGTAAAATTTTATAGGAAACATAACGAGAATGTGGATTTTCATATACCTTATTTTTAGAGTGACTGGTGTACATAGCAATATGTGTAGTGGTACTTTTGGACCGAAGACGTTGTTTTGGTCTGTAATCGGCTCTTATTTCCCGTCTTTAGTAGGCGAAACCGAACATTACTCGAAATTCTATCCAATTGGTAAAGTTTTACAAAAGATAATCGAGGAAAGTGGATATTTTCACATACAAGCTACAAAACCAGACACAGTAGGTAAGACGTTCTGTTCTAAATTACCAGGATAAGGTAAAACACATTACGCGGTACATATAATGACTTACAACAAATGTAAACCTTTTTGTATTAGGAGTTGGACTTTCAAATGCACCAGATGGTCTGGCAGCATACATTTTGGAGAAATTCAGCACCTGGACAAATCCTGCATATAAGGAACGAGATGATGGTGGATTATTGGAAAAATTCACGTTAGACGAACTCTTAGATAACATAATGGTGTATTGGGTAACCAATAGCATTACCACAAGTGTGCGTCTCTATGCTGAGAATTTTAGTTCATCTTACAGAGCTTTAAAAATCGATGAGTAGGTTTATAATAGTATACTATATATTATACATGCTACAAGTTAACACAAAATGTGTTAAATATTATACTCTGTTTCAGGCTACCTATAAAAGTACCTACAGGTTGTGCAGTCTTCCCAAATGAGTTACTACTCTCACCTCAATCTCTACTTAAAGATAGATATCCCTCTCTAATCCAGTATACCTACTTACCACGTGGAGGTCACTTCGCAGCATTCGAAGAACCTCGTCTTTTAGCCGATGATGTGTTCATTTTTGTTAAAAAAGCAGAAGAAATGAACAAGAATAATAAAGCACATAAGTAGGAATCCGAGTATCGGTTCTGGTACAAAGTGCTGTGTTGATATATGTTTTTTAAGTACTTTAATAAATTGTACTATGTTTCATATTAAATATAAAAGAAAATTCAGAACATTTGTAATTATTACTGGCTACAATGTAACATATCCTTCCTTGTTATTATACACTCTTGCCATTTACATTTTATCTTCAGTTATTTACAAACTCTGTTTTATATTGACATCTTCATAAATAAATGATGATTAACATTGATAATACGATAATTAATCAAACACTGCCAGCACCAGATTTTTCAACATTCTCCAGTAAAGTTTGCAAGTTAGATTCAAATAGTTCACATCTGATTGGCATTTCCAATGAATAAAAAGGGTTCTTTAAAGCATAATCTGCATATAATTCATACACTCTTTTTAATAAAATTTCAATTCCACTTTGTGTAGGCTCTGCTACAACAATAAATTTAATTCCAGTTAATGTTTGGTAACAATGTAATCGGAATGTGTCTGCCTCCAAAATTTCAATTCCAGAACAACGTGGTTCTGGGCTCAATTGACTAGCAATTGCGAATAAGGGATAGAACATGGATGCTAAGAAGATTTTTTCATTTGTTGTCATCTTAGCACGGCTAAATTTAAGCAGTAAAGGAAAATTTTCTGGTTGCTCAAGCAGTTCGAATACATCTTTTCCATTTTCTAGTTCCCGTCCCACTACTGGGTTTCCATTAACTGCTGATAAAACGTGTCCCACTACAATCAATTCGTGGTAACTTGGTAATCATCATTGTTAATTGTCCATATAACTGATCTAATCGTATTTAAGAATATATGTTTCTTACCATTGATCCCATCCTTCTGGCCGAACGAAACAACAATCTTTTTGTTTTCATAACTCAACTTTATATCCAATGGATAATTAAACGTCTTTTCGTTTTCAATTCGTGGAACATTGTGGTCATGATTAAAAATTAATCCGCCCGATTTCGACACGATATAGACGCCATATATAACCATTTTTAAGATATATAACAATATAGAGTCACAGTAAGATCGACTGTAATCTTTTAGTTTCTCATTGTCAGGTTTAATCAATTTATTTCTCGAATAACTCTTTATATATTTACAGACAACTGTCAATCCCAACTTTCTTTGAGGTTATGTCGCGATTTAGATTCACCTACAAACCCGTAGTACGTTCTCAGAGACACAAGTTTGTATACCGACGCGAGAAGGAGAGTACAGCCAATCAGGGCAAGGATGCGCAGAAAGAACGAAAACCGGTTCACCGGCGGTTATGCTCTCTGGTGAACTCAAGTATACATCACATCACTTATAATTCAAACTTACTTCACGTTTTCGTAATTCTAGTGTCGAAAAATTGTTTCTCCACAATATGGAAGATAATTCAAATTGGTCTCATAGTATTTATAAGAGTGATCCTTTGTTGTTTAAGAGTTATATCGGTATGAGAGTGAACATTTCAACTGTAGATGGCACTACAATTTCTGGTGTTGTTTATACTGTTGATCCTGTATCAGAGAGGTTAGAATTTTTGCCGCAACACGCTGTATTACATACATATATTTGATTATTTTTCTATGTATCGATTATTTCTTTATTGTTTTATAGTGTGGTATTGCTGCAGACCAGTCAAGAGAATCGTTTAAAAATCGTTTTCGGTCATGCAATAAAAAATATAAAAATCGATTCAGATAAACCGTGTAAGCTACCAGAATTATTTATAAACACGCCAAGGAATCTTCCTCAATCATCGTTAGAAGAACGAAGAAATGTCGTAATAAAGATGCTTCAGAAAAATAGATTTTCGGTTAAAAAGGAAGAAGATATTTTAACGATCGAGAATGTATTGTCGATAAAGCCCCCGTATGAACCGAACGATTGCATCTGTTCAAACAGTATTATTTTAGGAAAAATTCAGAATCTACTATCTCGAATTCAAACTTGATATTACAAACAAAATAAATAATTAGGATACGAGCGAATTTGTTCAGGTTTCTCTTAAAAAAAATTCGTTTTATTTTAAAAAATTTGCAATCTATATACTTCGTTTTTTTTTTTATCATAAAATATTCTTTATTTCGCAACTGTTACGTTGCCTAAAATAAAGTTCCGCTTGACATAAATCAATCGCAGATAAAAATTCGTTTCGTTTATAGTAAAATTTAATTTTAATATAGTTATCTAATGGTAATCTAAATTTTACTATAATCTGAATATGTTGAATTCGTAACGTTGCATTTAATTATGATTAATTCACTCTATTTTCGTGTAAATGGAAATTAGACGCACGTTATCGATTAGTATAAATCAAACTTTTTAGTAATTTTTTCAAAATAAAATGCACATTTAATTCTTTTTCTTATGAATAAATAGTTCGTTTTATAAAAACATCCTAACTGAAAAAATAATGCTTATAATACTTGTGCTGAAAAATTGTTTAATGTAAAACGAAAAAATATTTATATATGTATATAAACGATGCCAAAATGGAATATATATAATTATTAAAAAAAAAAAAAATTAAATATATAATCTAATTTAATAAAGGCATTGTACTAATTTGCATTGTTTTCAAACCAGAAAACATGTTCGCAATTTTCGTTTCTAACTTGAATCTTATGCTGTGACAATCGGTGATTTTCTTAGCGATAACTTTCGTCGTATCTATCTGTTGTACGCAATAAATACTTTCTGTTGAATGCTTCAAGTACCTCCTTTTTATAAATGTTCACTGTACTATGAAGATTTCTTAGCATTTATCGAAGAATACTATATACCCATGTAGAGAATTCTACGAAGCTCTGGGTCGTTGCACACGACGCGCTACTGCCTATGTAACGTTTGCCACAGCAAAAGGATTGAAAACCTCGATACGAAATAAATGTAATTGCGGCAGTGCGTCGGTGCAGCAAAATGCGTTAAAGAGCCTCGACTATCCATAGAAAAATTCTGGTTCGACTACCTTCCTTCCTTCGTTAAAAAAATATCGAACTTCTACCTTCTCTCTACCGAGATGAAAACAGAACTATGTGTGAGTCTATATCACCGATATGTGCATATGCCTTTACGAGTTTAGTGCACGTAAAACACGGGCCAACTGAACTCTGACACACTCCTGACTCTCCTCATTAGTATTTAATGTAATTCGTTGTGCACTGTTCTAGAAACCTTGGAACACTATCGGCTCATGTTGAACTTCTATTATTATTTTACATACCGAACAAGAAGAAGAAGAAGAAGAAGAAGAAGCAGTTTCATCTACGAGATCGCTAATCTCTTGATTTGATATTGAATAACAATAAAAAGACTCTCGTCGACTATACTTATCAATATCTTAATATTTTGTGATGTACTTTGATTGAGAAGTGTAACTTCTGGATCAATGAAATAACATAAAAAAGAAGAATGCATGTAGTGTTCTTCCAAGGCAGTGTCTCTCCACAGAAGTATAAGGCGCTTCTTTGGAGTAAAGTGAACGTCCTAGGTTATTCACTTTTTAGGTAGTAGGTCATTCGGTCTCTCCATCGGAATAGTACTCTATAGGTGTCAAATCACGAACTTTACGAGAATATCTTAAACCTAGAAAATCTGCAAGACTTTCGATGTGTGACAGCACCTAGCAAGTATTACAATTAAGATTATTATATTTTTTTTTCTATCGTTTCACAGAAAAATAACAGTTCACTTACATAATCGAGCTGCTGTTTAGTGTGTGCGGCAGAAAGACAAAATCGTATTCTCCCTTCCATCAAGGGAGTCGCTGGAAATCCAACACCGACCGCAGCTATGTTATGTGTTGTGAGGGTTCGCACAACTGCGCTATCAATCCAAACAATAATTTATTATTCGATGTAATTTACAATCTGATGTTGTCTCAAATTTTTACTTCTTACCCAATTTTAGAAAACAAATACACCAGCATAGGTACAACAGGCGAATCTTCGTTTCCATAAATAATAACTCCGATCTGGTTGAGTCTGCGCCTGAAGTACCTGGTGTTTCTCGCTAGCTGCTTCGTTCTCTTCCTTCCGTCGTCCGTACCATCTTCACCGGCAATTATTCTCATAGAAGTAATAATTTGTTGTGCTATTGGTGGAGACATAGCCACTGCGTAGGAATGAGCGTGGCCGTATATCCTTAAATGATTTATGAGTGTCTAAAATTATGGAATTACGATTAATATTATTACTTTCACAAATGAGCCAAATTACTCAAAGATTAAACATCGAACATTTTTATTTACCTTTGTTCCAGCAATATATCCACCAGCAGATCCAAAGCTTTTCGTGAAAGTTCCCATTAGTATGTCCACGTTCCGTGGATCAATTCCATAATAGTCGCAAACACCTCTTCCATGTTTTCCCATTGCACCGGTGCTGTGCGCTTCGTCCAAATAAATATATGCCTGTAACAATAAATTAAAAATCAATAGATCAAAAGATTGAAGTATAATAGATCTGTTCGAAATGCAAATAATTATACTTACTTTGTACTTTTTTTTGAGCTCTAAAATTTGAGGCAAGTTGACAATGGTACCTTCCATGGAATAAATACCTTCTACTACGATTAATATTTTCTTCCAAGGTTTTCCAGATCCTGGCTGACCAAAAACTACTGCAGTTTTCAGGCAACTCTCTAAATGTTTTACATCTGTAGTAAAAGAATGAACAAATATGAAATTTTCAATAAATTCTCCGCTTTCACTTTGATCGAACTTAGTTAGATTAAACCTACTGATCGAACTTAGTTAGATTAAACCTACTGTTGTGCTTGAACACTCTAATAGTGGCACCAGACAGCCTCAATCCAAGTATCAACGAAGCATGATTTTTTTCGTCGCTGATTACTAAGCAATCTTCATTTATTAACGAAGGTAAATTAAGAGAATTTGTTGCAAATCCCATCCCAAAAACGATCGCATCCTCTACTCCTAGAAACCTGGCTGTCAGTGTTTCCAATTCTTCGTGAATGGGCATGTTTCCTAGAAGAAAAGAAATCGACACGGATTGAGTCATGCAAAGTATTATGTAACAAGGAATAAATAGTTAACTCTTTATATTCGGGCTATTTGTTGCGCCTGTAAACAAGAAAATGATTACAGTAATGATATGACCTAAATTAATCAGTTTTCATAAAATAACAATGTTGCCAGCAGTGCTGACAGTTGGAGCGCAAAGAGTTAAAAAAAGGAAGAAGTAATTACCAAGTTCGAGACGAGTACTACAACTAGCACAACCAAATTTTTTCAGAGTCTCGATACTTTGATCAGCGCACTTGCCAGTCGCCTCGGCGAAACCCAGGTAGTTGTACGATCCCAAATTTATACAATTTCTGGTTGTCCCGGTGAACCTGAATTCGAAGATACGAATGAAAAAATTCAGATGCTTAGAATTAGAAATAATTGTACCTCGACGTATGATGAAAAAAAGCAACATCGCTATCGAATAGAAATCGAATGGAACACGTATGAAATTCGTCGTTTTTAGGAAGTTTAATTTACGTAATATTTAATCGATGAAATTTCCAACAGATTTTTTTGTATACCCACTTACTGGAATGTCCATCCATAATCCGTTGTTATTCTGTCTTTAAGCGTAACAGTGGAACCTGGAACAGAGCATATAGGCCTGTTCCAGCAATCTCTCACTCTTCTGTACACATATCGAAGATAGAACCTTTCGAAATTTTCGTATAGAGGTGCGTAACCCTGGAACAAACAGTTACGCTTATTATTAGACCAATGGCGTAACCTGCAATTAGTTTTCCACATAAAAATTGAAATTTTTGAGTCTTTAGTTGCAGGGGGTGTGCTTCCTCATGCACGAAGAAGTCTTAAATTCGTTCGTTTCAATAGTTTCAAGAGCGAGCAATAGATAGATGGTCAGACCACTTAACAACGTTCTATATATGGCATATAGCATTGCACTGCATCGTTCCCACAAGTAGTACACTAGGGCACGTACAGGCTATCCCAAAAATACGCAGTACAAGCGAATATTAAATGAAAGATCCAAAAATGTATTGAAAATGTAGATTTTAACAAAATTAGCCCCTTTGTGCTGCATGCACTTTCGTTGAGTAACTCAACGATTTTTATTCGCGACATCGAAAGAGTTGAAAATATTTCGACAAAAATAACCGAAAGGTTTCGTTTCATTTTCGTTATTAATCGCGTTTTACTTATACGCAGTTTTTCAATAGTCTCACAGACGTCAACATTAAGACGATACACTTGAGATATGATTCGGTCGCGTGAGGTTTGTTTCGCGAAAACACCGAAGTCAATCTCCTACGACCTTTTATATTGATACAATTTTCAACTCCGTATATTCCACGCTGTTCGTGTTTTACTAAAAAATCAAATATTAAGGTCCCTTCAGACTTTAACTTAGTTTGGAAGAGTGGCTCAAGAAAATTGTTATTTCTACTTTACAAACATTGCTTCCAATTCCTTGGAACTATTATATAAAGCTAAGATACATACGTAAGAAGAGGTTATTTCAAATAGAGCAGAATACTGTTTGAATTTGAATTGATTTGAATACATTGAAGTTCAGAGATTAGAAAACGTATAGGTACTGTAATACCATAAGTAGTAGCCTATGTAGTATCATGTGGTATCCTCCGTGTCTTCTAGTACCATTTTTCAATTTAGATTATTGTTATGCAAGTCTACGATTTAAATATATATATTTAAGAGGGAGGTGAAACTGGTTAAAGACATTCGAACAACGTTTCGTGTAATAAATCAAGAAACCGTTACAAGTTACCTTCAAGTAGACATTACGTGCATATTTTATGTATAGAGTTCGCCTGTGTTTCAACGCACTCACTTTTGTTCAAGCAACAAAATTATTTCACTTGAGTAAACCTCGCGAACAAATCGTCGTTTATTATTCCAATAAAATTCTTCTCTGGCGCGATGGTAATCTGACGCGACTTAACTCGATTACCGCCACTTTCGACTCATTATCGCTCTGATTTATTTCGCAGTTGGGAAATGTTCTGGACTTGCGGAATGTGACTCGCTGTCGTCGAGGGATTTTAACTTATTTCCAGCACGAGTGAATATTAAATTTCGAAAAAAATGTTTGCCAAACGATTTCGTAATTCTTATTTTTTATAGGTATTAATACATTTATTCGTACTCCCCTATAAACGGGAATAATAGATTTCGTATACAAGATCAATGTCGCGTGACCTTGAACAATCTCGTACAACAAAACTTGTAGAATTCAGGATTAAAATAGCATACTCTGTACATGTGTGCTATTAAGAACAATCAGTACCGCAAGGCCGAAGAATAAACCGCGTATAAGATTTTAAAGAATGTATCTTGCAGTGGAAAATCAGAAACTTTACTTATAAAAGGTAAAAAAAAAATATAGTAAGAAGTAGTCTTACCTCTCTGTTGTATTCTTTCGCAACTTTCGGTGTAAAAAACAATTGATTTATAAAGCCCAGAAACATAAGGATGTAAAAACCAAGGTGTGTCAATGCCGCCGTGATAAACGGTACTCTCTCGAACGATTCCTTCGACCTTGACTTTGTCGGTTCTGCCTTTGTTTCTTTTTCTGTAAACTAAGTATATTTTAAACATAATTACATTTAATCGTTTCGATTTCGATAATGTGTCGATACGTTATACTACAAATTGCGAAAGATGCCTGTAACGTTTGAACCTTGACGGGAGTAATTCCAAGATTCTATAACAACCGCAATATCGGCCGTACTGATAAATCTGTTGGCAGATAAACTATATAATCTTTAAGCAAAGCAATTGATACCACCATTCTTGGAAATTCTGCAAATTTTTATGCTATAATAAATAAAACGTTTTCTAAAAATTCAGTAAAAAGTAGTGCAACTTAAAAAAGATGCCAAAATGAATAACCTTATTCTCTTATCCCATATGGGCGAAAACGTGTACCTACATTTAGCGAAGTTTATTTGACAAATCAGGAAAACACTCTATTCTACATGATTAAAAATGAAAGAAATGTAAAGGCACATGTAAATCAAACGAATTTCTAAACTTGGTGATACTTATTATTACTTGTATTTCCTAAAAACGATAATATCTGTATGTAAGTTTTGAATTCTTTAACTTTCCACACAATCTAACTATACAAGCGTACCAATTATACTTTCATTCAACTACCCTTACATATCTCTATGAACCTTCCTGGCGGTCATTTTTAATATTTTTTTAAAGCTTATAAACAAGTAACACTACGTATATCGAAGCATGTTGCGCACTTTAAAAGTGAAGTGATCGTGAAGAACAATTAATAATTGTTGCCAATTAATTATGGCTCGATATGAGTTTGATTGTAAAATGTACGCGAGGAACTTCCTTCGTATATGTCGTAATTAATATTTATTTGATAAAGTCACTTTATCGTGGCTACGATTTTGAGGTTAGCTTTGAATAGCTGACGAATAAAGCCGAAAAAATGTGCGATATAAAATCAATGCTTACATTTTTCTTATCAATTTCTCATGACCGTTCGAAAGGTTTTCCGTTTAGTAGTACGCTGCTTAGCAGCAACAATCACAGCTGTTTTATAAAATTAATGCCGCAACGTTTGTTGTCTCGAAATTACGTCGCTGTTTATAGTTGTTTGAAAAATAAACTATTACGTGTACGTATCGACTTCGTTTAAAGTGACAAGAAATAATTTTTTGCTTCGACTTACTACATATGATACGTAAGGATAGGCGACGTATCAAAGCTTCCAGTACTAAATTGTTTATAATTGAATCAGTTAAATATTCAATGTAAACGAAACTAAGTAATCTAGTTGTATACAAAAAATGATTATGGTTAATTTATTAAAAACATAAAATGTATCGATTTAATTCTACCAATTAGCACTTTACAGTTATTTCCACTGATTATTTTATGTTAGAACGTATTAATGTAACTTAGAGCAAAGGGAAAATAAGTACATTATTTTTAACTTCTGTTGAATATTAACGAACATTATTTATTGACAATATAATTTGATATAACCATCGAAGTATCTTAATAAAAAATTACAATGTATTTCAAATCACTCTTAAATAACTCGAACTTCATGCCATAAATAGTAACGATTCACCCAATTAACGGTAACTCGGACTTACAATTACTTAATTTTATCACACTTTGACGTATTTATGGAAACGAACGATAGAACGTTACAAGATAACAGTTGACTTAGTTCAGTTTTTTTTTTTAATTGATTCAATTTGAACTCTGAAATGTTTTTTATCGAATAACTGTATGTATACAATACAAAACAGAAACGATCCTCTATTTCGTACCGACTTCAGAGATTGAAATGGACAAAATATCGGCGATAAGAATGTCACTAACGGTTAAAATGAAAAAAAAGAATTCGCATTATCAATCATAGATTCTTCAATTAGAATCTATTTAACATACAACGTAAGTAATTCAAACAAGCTAAGCACACTTAGATTGTTCGCGAAACAAATTTTAGATTCTATTTTAAGCAAATTCTATTAAACCAAATCTGAAGGTCGATCACGATATACTATGTTAATTTTCAACGAATTTGAACTGTGTTTTTGACACTATTTCAATTAATGTAACTCTTAAATAAAAAGAATACGCATGACAGGTAACGATCTAACCTGTACACGTCCATTTCTTTGTAAACCGGCATGGCCATTAGCTAGGAAGTCTCCGTGAAAGGTTAACCCGTTTCTGCTGTTCGTTTTCTCCTCGTGTTCATTGAGTCTTCTTCTGGTGGTAGCTTGCGCCGCCATTTTGCGAAGGGCGAATCTTTCACCAATTGCCGTAGGACCGAAGAGAGAAAAAGATAACAGAGAAGGAGGAAAAGACAGAGAGCACATGCGTCAACACGACGCGGTGGACAAGCAAAGACTAACGTTCTCAAGCCACGCGTTGCGATGTTATCCGCGCATGCGCATCCGCTCTGCTGACTTTGTGACCGCGATTTACCGAGAAACGCGCGGATAACGCAGGAATACACGGGCACGCGCATGCGCAGACGAAACAAATTAGAGTGAGTACTCTCAGGATTGGTACACAATTGAGAATAGAAATGATTAAACTAATGTACAGGAAGATCGAAATTTGTTTTTCTACGACTGTTAAAAACAAAAGGTGTATTACAAACCAGTTCGATATACATAGATCACACAGTTTCCGTTTTAAAATTAACACTATCGAGTGAAATACGTTTTACACATGCATAAGTATTTACATATGCGTTGGTTATATATGCATTTTAGATTGAATGTAGAATGAGACTGAGGTTAAAGATATATATAAATATACATCTTTATACATTCTGAAAGGGAAGTTTTTATTTTGCATCTTCGTTGACAAATTTACTAAAAAATATCTATTACGTTTACGATATTAAATAAAGTTACATTTCTAAAGAATTATTCATCAGATTTCTTTACTTTTTTTTAATCAATATTTTCAAGAATTCTTTTTACTAATTGTTCGCTACTATGCGACCGCGATTTTAACGCAGGATACCGGCTCTGACATGCGCACTGGATACCCGTGTGCATACCTCACTTGTGTGTGTACATGTAAACCCGCAACAACTTATAGATGGAAAATTACATACCTGTACACGCTTGAATTGTTTATACGTGTATCTCAAATTTTGTACAGATCTGTCTGTATTTTCAAACATGTGTCTTAAAGAATCAAGACTTCTATATATGTATTTAAACTAACAAATATGGAAGAATTGTTACTAGCTTTATTCTTTCGACAAGTTTTTTTATCGATATCCTTTCCACGAGTCTAAGTTAATCATCAAGCATCCTCGCCTAGTCTTCTCAATGTGACTCATTGTCTTAAACTCCTGCGTCCCCCACTAGCTTTCACATCAGATGGTGGGTGAATTTAACTCGATTCTCATTGGCAAAGGATCAGGAACGACCAACAGGCATCAGACCCCGATATTAAATTTTTTATAAAAAAATATCTGTTAAGTATAACACTTATTGCCACTGTACACTTCCATATTTTCAAATTTATTCAACGAGAAATAATTACATATAATAAATAGTTTCGACTGCTTATCAAAAGTCCTACGATCTTATCGTTAAAGAATGTTCTGCATCATGGTTCTCATGGTTTTGATTTTAGTTGAGATATTTTCAGTATACGAGGTATGTAAATGCAAAAATTAAAAAAAGAAAGTATGATTCATTGCCCCTTGTATGTACGTTCCTGGCAAAAGTAGCAATGGAGGGGGCGAGAACCCTCTCACGAACACCCTGCGAGATATTCTGTCACGGAACGTGCTTCAGAATTGAATCCACCCGTCGATGAGTGAACGTTAAACCGGTTTTTCTTTTTCAATGTCTGTAGCTTGTCTGTTAACATATAAATAAACTATTGCGCACCACTTGATAGTAGATGAAAAGAGAAATCGTCGAAATAAAACTGTTGAACTTTTAATTTCCTGGTATATTCGAAAAAGTGAAATTCCACGAACAAGTGATCGAAACAAAGTGAACTGTCAACATCACCGTTACGAAAATAACTCTGGCGAATCGCTTCATACAGCATCCGTTAGGAAATATAAAAATAAGATAGAAAAGAGTTTTATTTAATAATCGAGTGAAGGTATAGGGAAAGAATAACGAAAGAGTCCTGAAAGGAAAGTTAAATTCTATGACAGGATAATCGTCACCTCGCGTGTAGCAAAAATGGCCGAGTCGAAGGAGCAACCAATCAGAAGAGAGCACGATTCGATGGACGATTTTGAGCATCTCGAACATGTCCAGGATGGACAGTCGTCGAGCCACCTTGAACCTTACAGAGAGGAAGTACGGGACAATATGGAAGAAAATTTCGATATGGATAAGGACATGATCAATTTCTCCCTTAATCAGTCTGCAATCGATTCTGAGGATTCCAAAAAAGCAACTTTGTTATTATTAGACGCGGAAAAAGGTAAACCGGTCGAAGGGAATAACTTTGAGGTTAGAATGAAGGAATCGAAGCCTGATTTGTTGACGGGTAACATTGAGGACCAATCGGAAGTTATGAGTGTTCAGCCACCTAGCAGGAAGGAAGAAATTTTAGAGAAAAAAGAAGAAGCGGTTAAGGAACCAGAAATCATTTCTTCAGTGGAGAAAAAGACAGACGATTCATGGAGTGTACCGGAGAAACCTCAGCCTGTTTTACAGGAGCCTCAACATCTCGTTTTTCAGAAACCTCAACCTGTTTCAGAAAAGCCGCAACCCGCTCCAAGAGAAGAGACAAAAATTGAAAGTGTGAGTGAATACTTGGTCTCCGACACGGAGAAAAAGGAACGAACCAGTGCCCCGGAAACCGGCGAGTCTGAATTTGAATCGGAACCAGAAGCATCACCGGTGAAAAGTTTGAAGCCGGTAAAACAGGAAGCGAGACGAGAAAAAGTAGAGGATGTCGAGATCGCACCCAAAGAAATATTCCGCAGCATGGGAATCGGTAAGTAAATCCAGTTTTTCAGTTAAATAAAGATGTGTCCAATGATACTACAATTTTCTGATGTTACGTACTAATACCAATTCATCAAAGAATATATTACATACTGTGCATGTACTTATTAGTATTAAAAACTTCATCCTTAACACACTATTTATTAGTCGACCTGCAAAGTCTCGAAAGCAGAAACGATTAGTATGAAACGTTAATTAATTTAGCATCTTCGCACGAAGTGAACCATGCTTCCGTTAGGCTACGTCATTGCTTTTCTAACCAGCAACGATCAATTATTTATTCTATACACGTCGATCTTCTTTTCGCGACATTTTGTTTTCGCGCCAGCTTAATGACAAACTAATCCATGACAAAATACATATATACTACATCTCGAACGTAATTTTGATTTTTTGTTACAATTAGTAAATACTTAGTAGAGTAAGTAAATATCCATAAATGTATAATGCAGGCTTGCAGAATATTATCAAATAAAAATCCTTAATTAGGTAGGTTGTGGATATTGATAGTACTTGAGTAACGTTCGGAATAAGTAAGAGGTTATGTTCGTGTTTTATATGGCACTGGAGGTATTATCGATGCATTTTATTATTACACGATTGCGTCATTCGTTATCAAATTTGGATTGACAATGTTTCCGGTACGATATTGGTATGGCACAAATGATTGTTTACAGAAATGGAAGTATCTTTGTACCGTTACTTATACGTATACGTAAGATTATATGATCAGTAACGGTAACCGAGGATTTTGCGTTTCAAACTCAACGTACATATTCATAATTCTTATCGTTAGGTTAATCAGTATTTATATATATGAACACTTTATTAGATTACATTTAATTCCGTTTTTAAGTACAAACTACAACAGAGGAAAAAATATGATTCTGCGAAAATATCTTACCAATTTTTAGAAAGAATATTTAGCTCGTCAAATAACATTTAGACGTCGCTATGGTTTTACCTTCCCTAACGTGACCGAAAAGCCGTCGCAATTGTTTAAACTTTTATTGTTTTAGCAATTCTATTTTAGTTTTTATAAATATTTATGTTGAATATTTATGGGATAATATTTATGGGTCATTTGTGGCGATAAAATCGTTAGAAATTGTTAGATTTATTCTCTTGAGAGACGATGGACTCAAGTTGCAAAAAGTTACAGAATGTTGCACCATAGACACGTGCAGTCTGCGTATGGTTTTCACGGTGGGTCGAAGTCACCCATATCTTCTCTTCCATATTGATCGCACCGGGGATACCTTACGACCTCTTTTGGTTGAACCAATGGGAACATCCAGACTATGGGAAAATACAGTGACATTAAAAATTTCCTACTGATCAACTAGTACAGTTATCTATATTTATCTCCGTAACCCACGCATGCTGCATAGGACAAACCTTTTCTATATGGAAATTAGTTGAAATCGAAGCAACTTGGCCGAGATCATTTTCCTCTGAACAACTTATCTTCGAGACGACTGTTGCATTCCTCGTACAGATATTTTTATACATGATTTCAGAACGAAAAATTTCATGCCTGACTCATGAATTATTTCCGTTTGCAGCAGAACGCGTCACTTCTTTGCTACCAACTCTTTTTGCAGTAAATTAAATGTCAAAGTAGTTAACAATAGGGATCTTCTAATTAATATTTTTTCAAAATCTTTATTTTAACCAATCCTTCTGAAACTATTACCGACTACGACTATGTATTGCAAAGATTTTTGTGCCGGCATAATACTAAAAAAATATATTGCAGTGCCGTAATTAGAGGTGTAGAGCTCGCGAGGGTCCCGAATTCGATAGATTGTAAGTTTACAATAATGATTAAATTTCTACTGTTACATTGACAAGCGAGACTCAGAATTGCTAGTTAGTCTACTATATCGTTAACCAATTCCTTCGAGTGATTGTTAAATAATATAAATCTTCTCGTAACAAGTGTGTTCGTATCGTACAAACCAGAGGATTTCTTTACACCGTCGATAAGCGCCATCTAGCAGTGTACCTAGAGTCTCGCCTCGCATTATCACCGGAGAACCCGCCATCTATCGTCGAAAATAACTAGCTTTGCTTCGATAAAAGCCGTATCACCTTCTGACGCGCACCAATAGCAGCGGTGGTTGGTGGGGGGTGATGTCTGGAACTGTCTACTCTACGGCTACGGGTCGATAATAGTTGTGTCAGTTCTCATCTCGCCTCGAATCCTGGAGCGTCGGTTGACTGATACGCAACTCGAATTACGCGAAAGTTGTTTTCTTTGGAATCGTTTGAAAACTGTTTCGACAGCAAACCTACGATCGAGAGAATACTTAAGTGACCAAAAATAAAATATAAATCGGTGAATAAAAAAAAAGAAGAATTAAAAGGTGAAACGAAACGAGGGGAAGCTAGTGTCTTCTCAAAAAGTGCGCCGTTCGCGCTGTTAGCTCGGACTGTTGGGGTAGTGCTCGAATGAGATTCGTCGTCCTTGGTTCGATCGAGACGCAAGGTTAGGTGAAAATGGAAGCAGAGCCGGTATTATGCCCTGCGAATTTCTCAACGCAGGAAAAGGACGACGCTGGGGCGGTCTGCAAGAAGCCCTGCTCTGGAGTAGCCAATGGCAATCCTTGCTTCTGGAATATTCTTGATCCATGTATGTTCTATTCTTATTGTGACTTCTTCTCTTTGATCGTCGTTTCCTATCATTTTCATTTGACGCGAGACAAGACCGAGTGTTGCGAGGCTAGATATATCACGTAAATGTTGTTGATACAGGGAGATACAATTCGCGTCTGGTAGGACGGTTAAGCCTGAGTGGTACATGATGGGAATATATTTACAATGAATATAAACTAGAATGAATCATCGATTCGTCTTTATAGCACACGTGAACACAGGCTTAAGTCGACCACGGTTAGGTGTGGTATTGCATGGAAAAAAACGTTGTTAGGGAAGTGGGAAAGTCGATTTAAATAATATCGATTTACAGTAAATATTCTTTATGGAAAGTAGACAGTTATTTTTAGTTGTTTAATGTTTAATCAAATTGATCGCTTAAACGGTCGTTTGTAATTAACTCTGTTGAAACGATCAATTACGATCAAATCTATTGACGCAAAGATTTAGTTAATATTCATCTTAATAGTATTACAACTATCATATGTAGGGAGCGTTAATGTCATTTTAATTTCTTACGAAATAAATGTAGGATTTTGTGAGAAAACATTACACAATCTTGGACGAATTCTACCCTAACCTTAACATTACTTTAAGATACGATTTTGCACATATTTATTTAATATCCTTAAATTTTATTGCACGTCGAAGACTACATAAACTTCAATAGTATTTTTTGTTTTATTTATAAAGTTATCGTGCATAGTTCTTTCCTGCAGTGCTTGAGGAGTTATCATTGGTTGCATTTGTTCATAACACGTCTATTAACTCTATCGCGTACAAGTAACCTTGAATTTCTTGTAGGTGCTGATTGCACAATTATATCGTCAAAATTTTAAAATTTAAATGCATTGTTATATAAAAATAAAGTACATAAAAAACGTCAAGGTTAGAATTTTGATTGGTTCATCGAAACAGCCAATTGAAATTACTAATTTTCCCTCGAATCTCCTCAGCTTTTTAATACATACGTACCGTTTATTTATGTTTAAAGCGATGATACGACATCTCGACCACTTTGCTATGGATTTAGTTTATCACAGAAGTTTCGTTATTTTCCACGTGGACCCCAGTAACCGTAGATTATTTGTCTTAAAAATTTAAAAAAAAAAAAAAAAAATGGAAACTAGATATCTATGTACATAGCTCCGGGTGCATCGACTGCGTGACATGCGCAGTAGAAACGCGATTTGTAAGTGGGTTATTGATCGACGAGTATCGGTTTTTATAAATATATTGGATACCCGGCATTGTTGATAGGAATTTTTGATAAAGAATAAGACATTTTACCTAACGTGTACATGCAAAGTATATCGATGTAGTTTTTCAAATTTTTTTGGCGATCGAATAGTAAGCGAGACACTATTTGAGTCTCGATTTATTCAATTCATCATGAATTTCAGAAAATATTATCTTTTAATAGTAAGATACGTTATCTACGAATCTGTGAGCGCACTTTGCATCGTCATGCTGTTAAATTTAATTTTCATATAAATAATCAACAAAAATCATGAGTACAAGTTACACAAGACGATGGCTCGACTTTAATTCACTTAATATCACAAACATTAAAAACATTTAATATTTTTTTTTTGTATCGAATATCGTTCGATTAGAAACGAAATCTGTGTAGATTATACTATTTACTGAGATCAATAAAGACAAACCACGTGTGTAGATTTTAAGTCGATTTGTCTGGCCGAAGTACAAAGATATATAGAGATAGGAGTCGAGGTCAGCTATTGCGTAATACTTGACGGTGTGCTAATTACATCAACTGTAGCGAATCGATTTTTATGAATCTGCTATTTCAGAGTGGGCTTATTTCTCTGAAATTACTATTTCAAATGTTTTGTCGGTTTACGCTCTTAAATTATTCTTATCTCCTCCAATAATTTTGTTTTCTCGTCTTATAACGGTTTCTTGTCCATATTACAAATATTACGTTGTTTTCCTTTCCGAAAATAAGTCCCAACACAAGGTTCCTGTTAATTTAAGTTTCAGTTTGTTTTGTTCCAACTATCGAAGATGTTTCTGTTAGATAAAATTTCTACGGTTCTGTTACCAAACAATGGCAGCATAATGGTTATAACCGTCTTCATGGCACGTTGATTCGGAATTGCTACGTTAAAGTAACAGTAGAGTAATTTACACCCGTATACGAGTAAGCTAATGAATTAAGAGCGATGGGAGTTTCATTCGTACGCGAACTTGTAACTAATTAGAGACTGAATAAACTGCAACACTCTTTTTCTGAGCAAGTCTGGGTTAAGTAGTGTTGTGTGGTTTCCAGTATTTTTTGTGGTTCATGCGGTTGTATTAGATAGGTAGTGATCTAGATCTTGCTTACTGTTCCGTTACGTTTGGAAAACAGAACTCGTTAGAGCCATACATGCACATGATAATATCGTTGGTCCAAAGATGTTCATTTTTCTCGACAAGCTACGAAAATATCTCGCGAACAAATTGTTTAGTCTCGAGGGATAAATATTACGAGGAAGGTCATATTTTTAGAGTTGGAAATTCTCGGTGGTTCTTTCAATGGTATTTTTTGTTATTTACGGCGTTGCAGAAACGCGAATTTAACCGTCTAAAACAACATGACTTTCAAATGATCCTAAGTAGAATACCTTGTGTCTTATCGGTTACGTTTCCCATTCGTATCCAGACACAAAACTTCTTAAGGCTATTTGAACGTTGTGTTACAGGAATTCGTTTTTATCTTAATTACAACGCCATTGAAATGTTGTCGAAGCGGAGATTTTCAAATTTCGGAAACTATGGCCTTGAGAGCAGTGACGTGCCAATTATAAAATTTACCCTTTCAAATCAAACAATTTCTTCTTGAGACCTTTGGACGTGGTGTCGAAATGAAAAGATTTTACGAGCGTAACCATTGATGTCTCATGCTAATTGACACGGCAACATACACCACTACTATAATGGCACTATACATCTATTATCTGGTAGAACGGTAATAGTATTTACAGTAGCATCGTAATACATTTCTCATCGATTCCTTCATTATGATCATTTTTTGTTATTCTTCGCAACAGACGATCACCATTCAATGTCCAGAATGCGAATCATTTTTTGTTTCGTCATTCATTAATTTTTGGATCATCGTAGAGTAGAAGTAAACGTTAAAGAAAGACGATGAGAACTAACATAATTCGATTCTGTTGTTTACAGACGCATGGTTTAATCCCGAAAGACTGAATCCAAAAGGTAAGAGACCAGCCTCGATGTCGATGTCCGTCTGCTTATTTATGTGTTCAGTCTCATAGTTATATGCTTGCAATTTATTCCAGTAGCATTTATTTTTAAAAGTTATCTGCACAGTATTCGTCTAAAATAAGATAAAAAAAAAAAGCAAAAGAATGATTTATACAGGGTGTCCCAAAAGTCGGGGAGGAGTCGGAAATGGGGGGTAGCTGAGACGATTCTGAACAACAATTTCTTTAGCGAAAATGTTGTCCGAGGCTTCGTTAATATCTCCTTAACGAAGCCCCATCCGACATTTTTCCAAAGGAAATTGTTGTTCAGAATCGTCTCGGCTACCCCCCATTTCCGGCTCCTCCCCGACTTTTGGGACACCCTGTATACTTAACTTATCATATACATATAGGACGACCCAACTTGGATTTGGCGAAATATTTTTTACAGATTAGATAGACAACCATTTCCCAACAAAAGCTAGATGATTTTAACCTTTTGATATTGGCACATGCGTGTACGTTTGGTTTTACATGTCAAAATTATCGTTAGTTATGATCACAATAGTACAGTAGAGACAGCATATTTTGCATGTCAAAATTGATATACAGATTATATAAAGTTATACATATGTCCTGACTTCTAATCCCCATGCCCTGTTCTCCGTTTTCACTCGTTTCGTATTTAAAAAGACAAGATTAAGCGGACATGTACACCCTTAGACGAGTAAAATTTCGAAAATACAGCTCGTGCAAGCTTACTTTAGTGCCGCGTTGAGACAAGTTCGATAAATCGTGACGTTCGGTGGGGAAACTTGCGGTCAGATAGCAAAAACAATAAACAAGACATCTGGAAGAGTGATTCACAGTGTAAGTACACAGTTGTTACGATACCAAAGTCTCGTTTGATTTGTGAAAAACCTTTGAACCGAAGGACTCTCGCGAAAGATTACACGGTCTATTATTAAATACGTACCCGTCATCTTGACGTCGTGTGTTTTGCCACTCTGCGGCATAAATTGACTTGGTGACGCTATCGCTAAATGCTTTACTAAAAAAAAAAAGTACGATTAAATAAAATTGATCACTAATAATCGTATAAAAATGTTAAGACCTACTTGAGGTTATGAAACGCTACTTGTAACATCCTGTAACTACTGATTATGCAACAGTGTTTCTCAAACTAAAACTCTCGATATATTAATCTACGAGCTTTCAGAATAAAAAGCATTGATGCAACAAAAAGATACAAGCGCTCACTAACATTGCTATCGTCAGATGCTATAATTCAGCTTAGCGTGACAATGAGTGTGACAGGCATTTCCTAGAAATGCAGTTTCACGAACAATGATCGTACACGATTTTCGTTGCATCATTCAGGGTATGAGACTCGGTAGTCATTCAACGAGCACACATATGCAAAAACCACTTGCGCGAACAGTGGAGGGGCTTTTACTAATTGTAAGCTCATTGACAAATACGCGCCCCTCGTTCCGATCTCTTTGTAGTCCAATGTGTTCTTTACACTCGCAGGAGATTAACGCCTAATTCAGTTCTCGATTTTCGTCGACTTCCATTCGTGTCATTATTATTTTACATAAACGACATTATTAATAATCCAGCAATAGCGCTATCGAAACGGTGTTTCTCGAGTTTTGCATAAAGGAATAGAATTAATTTCCACACCTAATAAATAGTAGTTCGAAATAGGAAATGTCAACAGTAGCAAAAATGAGAGAATACTTGGTTTCGTTACCTCGAAAACGTTGAGAGAAAATCTAAATAAGTGAAAGTGTTGGTATTTGATCAGCACAGAACACGTCAGGTTGCCGCGAGCATCGAGTAGATATATTTAGTATCGCAGATGTATTTCAAGTGCAGAATCATCGAAACGCGCACGTTCCCTGTTTAGAACCTAGTCCCTTTGTTCACTCGATTGCCAGCGTGATCGATTTTTCTGCGACCACAATAGGTGCGATCTCTCCGTGTGGGTCAAGTGCTCTGCGGTGAACACCGAGGACACAATTAGAAGCGAGTCTGTTGTGCAGGGAAAGTGCGTTCAGGGCAATGCTGGCCGATTGTTCTCAAATTAGACACGAGTCGAGATTTATTGTGTCGAGTTCAACGACCTGCTTGTCATTTTTTTGCCCCCCTTGTTTGATATTAGTGGAACGTTTCAACTCGACCTTGTTAACAAGGGAGTAGCACAAAGTAGAACAGCGGCAAAACTTTGGTTGGAACTTTGGTATGGGTGTCCTTGTATTTTTACATTGGGCCTTTATACAAATTAGACCGATTGGGGCTCCCAATTGCGCTTTGGTAGAGGTGTAGCAACGTTACGAAGGTGATTTACAGTAGTTTTGTCAACTACAAAATTACTGGATTATATTATTAACCCAGCTGTGGAAATGGAAACTCGTGCAAAAATATTCTAAACGCACTAAAAATCGGAGAGCTGCAAAACTGGCGAGTTTCTGGTCAGGTAAGAGTATACTCTGCGGCGTTGGTCATTCGATCCTTCGCAGCGCCAGTCGCAACTCAATCATTGCATAACACCCCGTCTGCGGACGTCGAAACCGTTTCTCGAATCGTAACTCCCCGTGCGACTGCCGCCGTTCAGTTAACTTCCTTGACGACAGCGGATAAAGTTGCGGGCGTGGGTAGATGATATTTTGCATTTAACACGCAATGTAGTTCCGTGTTCCTCGATAAGAGGGAACGTTAATATAGAGTCCAACAGAGTACAATGATAACGATAATACCGAGCACAATGAAGTAACAAAGTAAGTTTGATGAAGATGAAAGTTGTTGGCAGGGATTGCAAACTAAAGCTATTTTATCCTAAATAAATATATATGTGCAGAATAAATACACATACCTCTGTACAGGAGGTACTGATAGCGCGCGTATATCAATATGCTTCGAGCTCTTCTCTGTTTGTATACATGTAGCAACCATTAGGAACACCATACAAATTGAATTGTACTCAACATTCGATCGATAATCTTTTTCTTTTTTTTTTTTTAATTTTGTAACAGACAAAGGTTCACCATTTCCATTTTAATGACTCGAAATATCGCGTTTCTCTGCCTACAGATTTTTGAACTCTGACGCGTGTGGATTCTTATTCGAATGCAGATATCACAGAGCGGGAGATGTTGGCCCATTCAGAAAAAGTATTTTTGCTATACCTGGTCGGTTGAAAGCTGAATGACGTGGGTAGAGGCGGGACACGGTTATTTGTATTACCCTGTTCGCGACGAATGTTTCGCGTTGGATAACTCGTGTTACTGTCCGGTGTCTCGATTGTCAGCGACACAAGAGAAGGAACGTTGTTTCGTTATAGCGCTGTCTTATCGTTAGAATGACGTAACGAGGCACTAATAATTCGACAAATTCTCAACCGAGTCGAGTCGAATCCAAATTTATTTTAGATTCCATATTAGAATGAAATATCGGGAACGAACGTCGTGATAATTAATCGACTCCGTTTTTAATGTAGTTTGCGTTAGGTGGTAAAGGTTGCGATATTCAACCAATAACACCTCAGTTCCCTTGACCAGGTGAGGTGCAAAGAATAAAAGGTCGCGATATTTCATCGATACCACCTCAGTCCGTTGTCTGGTGTGGGGTCTGGAAATAAACTATCAATAATGTGTTAAAGGTCTGCTTATAGAGTAGACTTGTAACGCTCGGTTTGTTCAAATCTAACAACAACTCTCCCGTATCTTACTTTTGTTAATTCATCAGAATTCGGAAATCTATACCCCCACTAGATATGTTTGTTGTTTAGGACCTTAGACGAACTTAGCCTTATCCCGTTATCGGGCAGGTACATTTTCCTGTAGGGCCCAGGATCCTCTTCGTCGAAGGTATTCCCCTCGAGTCCCGTTTGTTTGAACAGTCGAAAATTCGTCGTGGCAGAATCCAAAAAAGCCGGAGACGATTGGCGGCCCTTGTGGTTTAAATATAGCACCCAGCCGGTTCGAGCCGTTGATGCTCTGCCAGAAATCTCAAAGAGAACTCTCGCTTTTCCCCGAGTGGTCATCGCCGCAGTCCGTTCCGTACACGAACAGTGTCGCGTCTCCGTTCGATCGTAGCCACGGTCGCGCGTTTCCTCGGTCCCTTCGATCCTCCCTCCTTTACCCTCGGGGAGGAAGAAACCGGAAGCAGAAAACATGGCCATCACGAGGGAGGAACGTGAGTACGGGGAATAGTGCAAGGGTTAATCAAGGGAAGCCCAGGTAGAGACACTGGCGGCCGTTGACAGGCTGCCAGAAGCTGGCGATCCGCGCAGACGCGTTACGTCACAGATCTGGTGGGATTTTTTTTCGAAAAAGTTAATGATTTTAGCGCTGAGCTCGAACCGGGTCCCGTGGGCGCGACAGATTGGATACAAGATAGATTTAGAAGGTTCGAATCGAGGTGACGTTGCACCGTGTCGTCGACCGAGATATATTGCTAGTAGCTAGATGGAATGACTCTTGGCAAGTGTCTTTATTCTCATAAATTGTGTTCTCGTCATAGTGATCCTATTGTTATCACGCGACTCGAAATTGAAGGTTGTGGTGAAACGCACTTTCTTTATTGACTCCACTTGTGGAAACGATGTATCCATGTTAACGTTAGGTTTACGAAGCACATTTGCGGTTTGAATCATCCTGAATTTCAAAAGAAAAATTCAGACACCGTTTACACTTTCTATCAATCGTTTTTCTACGACTATTGAACTCCTAGTTTCAATCGAGGATTTAGACAGATATATGTAGACCCTGTACAATGCTTCCTTCATCGAGCAACACTGATCAGACCATTTTTGTTTATATGACCTGTTCGAGTCGAAACTCTAAACAGTATTGTTGGAAGAGACTAGAATCTGGGAAGAATTGCCATTCGCGTCAGGTCAGGCAGGATGCAGACGCGATCGAATTAATACCACTGGCGACATTGAAGAAATTTTAGAAATATTTTGCTAATTGTTGGACGCATTTAGTCGGAAGGCCTTGTGCCAGATTTTCACATCCAACACTCGAACGGGTCTTAAAATTACCGAATTGCTGATAGTGAAAACTTTTCTTCGTTCCTTTCTCAAACTAATAGAAATAATTCCTTCATAAACGTTCTTATAGCACTCGAGTATATTTTTCCCAACTTTCGCATAGATCCTTGCGTGAAAAATATTGCCCGAAACGAATCAGCAATTTCCAAACGCTGTAATCTTAGTATTAAATAATGATGACAACGAACAAGCGTCCATTTAGTCTTGGACTCCACGTGTCTTATTTCCCGCGACAGTGGGGCGTGTAATCGAGGGTGGATTCGTCCAGGGGTGAAATCATTGGCAGGTGTATTTCTGGGAACAGTAAAGGGAAGGGACGTCGAGGCAACAGCCGACACTGCGACGCCGGGCGTCGCACTACCAGAGACGAGTTATTGATTTTCCACCAACAAACCGCGCCCCGAGCATTTCCCTCCGTTCCTTTTTATTCTGACACGTGAGACTTATCAACCGTGTCTTCTGCGAACACTGTCCTCTTTCAGCGACTCTCAATAGAAAATTTTTAAATGTTTTAGAGAGAGAGAGAGAGAGAGAGAGAGAGAGAGAGAGAGAGAGAGAAGATAACTTGTCCTAAATTAATAGAAACGAAAACTTACAGATTAATTTCCATACTATTGAAATTTAAGGTATCGAGGGATATCGAGACATACGTGTAATGAATGATATTGTTACCGACTGTAGTCAACTTCCACAGCGCAAGTAGCATTTAGATTATAATCTTTCGAGTATAGAATGTTTTATCGATAGATTCAATTATTCGATCAGGTTATCCATCAAGTTCTCTGAACAGCATTACAACTTATTTGATGAAATATCGTTATACGCATCAAATATAAATACAATATCTTTTTTTTTTTTATTATTATTAAACACGGTCAAAGTATGCATTTTACCAAACCTGTGTCATTTTACGAAGACAACAGAACTGCGAGATTCGACTAACAATAAGTGCTCGCAAAAGACGTTCACGCAATAAGATTCGATCTAGATCGACCCGCTCGTTTTATGCGTACCGAAGGTGACTCATGTTTGCCTAGCGCATTGTATCGCACAGTCGAGGCGTTCATCAATTATAAATTCTTCGTAACGAACTTCTAAATAACGTTGCCTTAATAGAAATGATCTCCCAGTGTCGCCATGTTTCTATATTTTTTTCCCGCGTCGAATGTAGCAAATTTCGCAGACGAAGCATCGTTGAAATCGTTGCTAGGCGCTATCAAGTTTGGAGAATGTCGAGGACGTGGATTCATTCAAAATTGGTCGACATTCTTTTCCGAATGCTGAGCTACGCGAAAACGATGCTCAATTCTTTGCTTAATCATGCATTATTCGCGAGCTAGATCGAACGCGTTTGAATTTTCTAAAAATCTCTTGGTCGTTGAGCGTCTGTTCGATCAGGAATTGCAACAGATGACATAAATTCGTTTGGCAGAATTACGCGAGTACCGTACCGCGAGATGTCGGTGAAGGTCTTGGAAACCGTTTAATAGACCATCTTTTTTGGATTAGAGACAAAGCCCACAGTAATGTAGAATTCGAGGATCCACTAGCTCTCTATTATTAGGAACCCTTGAAGGCTGTTACATGAACCGCCACCATTAATCACCACTCCACTGATACTTAATTACCGTGGAATATCTTGATTACACACCTGCCCGTCAAATTTTCAATCACCTCTGCGCCTCTTAATTATCACGTTGCTCGAAATAATTGAAAAGTCTTATTAAAATTACTGTATTTAATCGAGGCTTTTCAGCAACTTGAAAAACGCTAACTTCGCAAGGTAATTGCACCGCAATTGCAGTCTACGGTGCGTCAGCAATGAACAGTTGAAAGAAAACATTGTTTAACAACGGAACCTGCTATCGAAATGAATTTGACGATTTTGTACACGTTCACTGCATCGGTGTCGGTCTCATAAACCGCGGCAAGTCTTTATGTAATGGAAAACCACGCGAGATCGGGAAGGTTAACATACTGTGGGGTTTCTAAAAGGTAATTGACCCAGGCCTTTCTCGACGTCCGGGAGGCCTTGATGCTGGCTACTTTCTTACCGATTTCCTCGACGATGTATACCACTGGAGCTAAAAGAGTCGCTCATTCCCATTTTCGTTTCCCAATGCTTCAATTATCGAGGCGTTTTTCAAGTTCAGGAAATGATTGCGCTATATTTCTTATCGTATTATGTGGTATTAATCACGTAGAGATAAAGTATTACTTCTCTACTCGAGTTATCTCACAGCGCTGTACAAATAGAAGCAGGGGAAATTAAATATCTTTATCTGAAGTGGGATGCCTTGGTTTGCTCAGATTGTGTTTAACAAAAGTTAGGTTTTCAGTTAGAAAAAGTAGAAATTAATCCTGTATCGTTATATTTAATTATTTGTAACAAGGGCCAAACATTAATTTCCATACCTAATATTTAAATAAAAATTAAAGCCTGTACAATGAAATATTTGTCCAATAAAGAACTGAAAACGTAATTGTCGTCAGTTGCTATACGATGGCTTCATTCCTTCTCTGTTACTATACACGTTTTGCCCATCCTCGAGATAGATTACACGTGTTCTCTGGTTCGAAACTAGGCTTCCACGGAGACAGTTACCGCAAAATTACTAGGCCATGTCATTCCATATATTTGATCTATTACATCGGCTGCATTGTGGGCTCCTCCCCTCTTTCCTTCCGTTAGTTTTACCTGTCCTTTATCTTTCTGGTTGCTCCTTCCTTGGTTCTCCTTCCTTCCTTCTCTTTTTCAATTCCAGTTACATGGCTCTGTTCCTCCTTCCTTCTCCCACTTTGCTTGCTCTCCTGTCCACGTATGACTCTCTGTAATATCACGAGGCAGTTCCATGTGCAAACGTACCCTCGAAGGAGGTGGCAGTGTCCTCTTAACTTTCTTCACGTTGAAACGTTCTCACGGTGATTAGATAGACTTTATTTTACGAGAATGGTACGAAAGAGCAATGCGAAGGCCCACGTCGAGGAACTTCCCGAAAGGGGTCCCGGTGAGTTTGCGCTTGTTTCTCTTTTATTTCGAGTGAAAAAACATCGTTTCCAATTGATCTAGGTAACATATGGTTCGACCACGTGGTCGCAATACTCGGAGCTAAGTCAGACTTATGTAATTGCACGCGTTGGTACTTATCCAGTCTAGATCTTAATGACCTATGTGGCTAAGACCTCTCTTCTGGGAATAAATTTGAATAAAGGAATTATTGTAAAGGGGTTCACACATAATTATAATGGTTCTTGTAAGAGATACCTGAGGAAAGAATTTCTGGTTTCTCTGTAGGCATTCGTAACGTGAAACTGTGCTTACCATGTGTTTCTGTGAAAAGGATGAAAACATTTCTGTATGATACTAATGAGCAAAATTGAAATAGAGATCCTTCGTTTAATTAATTGTCGCTGAACTTGTCTCAACATTTACCAAATTGTGCAGACTTTAAAGTTGAAAGTTGTAAGAGAAACTAGTTTAGAGAGACTGTTTTAAGGACCATCCTGCATATGTCCTGTAAAATTGAAATGTAAAACATGAAATTAGCACCTGTTTTACACCTGAACAACTCCTAATTTACGATTTTCTTCTGTTTGTAGTGGCAGCCTTAATCTACTGGCGCGACCCAAAGAAATCAGGCGCTGCTTTTGGGTGCATACTGGGTGTGCTCCTCTCGCTGGCCTACTTCAGCCTGATTAGCGTCCTTGCGTATTTGTCGCTTCTCGTTCTCACCGGCACAATCGCGTTCAGGATCTACAAGACGGTTCTTCAAGCAGTCCAGAAGACCTCCGATGGCCATCCCTTCAAGTAAACGTTTTTCTTTAATTAAGTCCTAAGATTCTCAGACATCTGACCTAGGAATCTGTACTGTTATAAATTTCAAATACTCAAGTTTGATTTAGATTTTAGGAAACAATGTAGACAACGATACATAACGAGGACTTGGTCTGAATTTCAGGGACATTTTGGAGCTGGACTTGACAGTGCCTGCAGAAAAGGTGCATGAAGTTGCGGACGTAGCCGTTGCACATGCAAATGCAGCGGTCAGCGAACTTCGTAGGCTCTTCCTTGTAGAAGACTTCGTTGATTCCTTGAAGTTCGGCGTCTTACTCTGGTGTCTCACTTATGTGGGATCTTGGTTCAATGGCATGACTCTTATAATAATCGGTAAATAATGTAACGTAGAGTAATTAATCTTTCGTCAAATAATACATCAAGATATTTAATGTTTGCTCGTGCTCGACTAACACGAATTAGTTTGGTCTACAAACATATTAATAGATCTGACGTTTTGACGATGAATTCACAGTCAAACACCTAAATTCACGATTTAACGTGGCTGCGCAGTCATCAAAATATGTAAGGAGGTCATTGTTCTCATTAGGCAACGTCAAAGTACTCAAACTATCTAGAATAGATGTTCATTCACCTCTAATAATAATCTATAGAAATGTGCCGAAATTTTGTACACAATTTTGTGTGATTGATTTTTGTTGCAGGGGTAGTTGCTCTTTTCACACTACCGAAAATTTATGAGACAAACAAGGCACAAATTGATCAGAACCTCGCCCTGGTGCATGGCAAGATCAATGAGCTCACCACAAAGTAAGTATACATATCTCGGAAATTATAAGAGTAACTTGCGAAAGTTGCCAAGTAACACATGCCTTGGTCGATAATCTCTTCCATAAAATATTAACGGAGGACGAACGAGTGCAACTTTTGCTCCCCCTGATGCAGTATCGTGTCAAATAGGAGGCCCATTACAGCGTAGCCTATTAAAATAATAACTTAAATTGATTCTGCACGAGCAGAGCAGTGTTCGCTTGCAAACTTCGTACATTGATATATAACCGAGTCTGCATTTTGTCACTAGATTTACCAATACAAAAAATACGCACTTTGTTCTATTATTGTTTCAGGGTGAAAGCCGCGATACCTCTTGGTAAAAAGGAGGCAGCGAAGGAAGAATAAATTCGAAAATACACCACCACGCGGGGGCAAAGAACTTGAGCGAACTTGTCGGGTAACTGAGGATCCACGCAGAAATGACGAGGGAGAAAGTTAATGAGATGATGCAGAAAAAGAAACAATTGAGGAAAAAAGTAAAATACGAATGAAAGATAAAATGTTGAACGCAAGAATAGCGTACCAATGAATGAGAATGATATAAAAAAAAAAGTTCTTAGAGCATTAAGGGTTAAATGAATATGAAGTAACAATTTTTTTTTTTTTTTTTTTTAATTTTTGGACTTGTCGCATATGAACGAATTATATAACTAGCTGCAATACAAGCACTGAAGAAAACGTATATAAAGAGAGAAAAGGCGGAAAAATCACCGAATAGAAATTATTGCTAAAACGATAAACAGAAGAAACGACTAAAAGCCAAGTTAAAAACAATTTCAATAGCCCAGAAGGACAACGAAAGGATCGTCAAAGTGTGTGTAGGGGAAGAGTCTTTTCTTAATACTTAGACTATGGCAGATGGACTTTGTTGACCGATGATGTCGTAACGCAAATTTTCCTTTTCCGGACCTGCACAGTGTCCCTATTGATGGAAATAAACGGAAAGAAGTAACATTTAGCGATTACGTTAATTCGTTGCGACACGAGAGGTGATGGAGAGTCTTTTGGTGTACTCTATACAAAACCCATGAACGGTGCAATGCGTGTGTGTCTCTTAGGGGATTTCCCGGTTTTTCTTCCCTTCTTTGTTTTTTTCCTCGCACTCTCCTACACCAGTCCGAACTGATTCTTCATCCTCAGAGGTTAGGATATGCGGTCCCATTAAAATCAGTAGTCATTCATTTTCAAAAAATTTATTCATTTTATGATAGGAATATATCAATCAAGTATTCCCTGGTAGAAAAATGACGAGAGCTGCTTCTCTTTTTAGTCTTTAACAAATTTACTTTTTAATTTATAGTTTTCGATCATTTTCAATTTTCGATTCTTCGAGAATGCATTTTTAAATTGTATTCTACAAAATTTTCTGGATAAAGAAAAATTATTTAAAAAGTAATAAGATACTGTTATACTGTCACGTTTCAATTGTTATGAAGGAAATAATAATGCAGATAGCTCGGAAAGGAATGGCTAGTCATTTTTATTTTTAATCAAATTTTTTTTGCTTTTGAAAATCTAATTTTGTTAGGGGAAATTTATTGATCTTAAATAATCATAGACTTCGTCTCTTTATGTTATAATATTTTTAAATGGAGTTACGAAGTATTGGGTAATATTTGTACAATAACAAGAAACTTAGCGAATTACAGAGTCTAAATTGGCTCTCGTTCCTTATTTCTACTGAAGATATATCTTTTTATAAAATTCTGTTGTTTCCTTTAACATGTCATGTTAGGTTAGTTTCCTGAGTTTTTGTTATTAAATACATTTTCATCTTCTTCAGATGTATATAAATATGCATACTATTTTTTGTTATTTGTTTGTACTTGTAAACTATGATTAAACTAAAACACGGATCCGTATAAGGAAAAAAATCATAAAAAATCTACTAAATAAATTTTTATTTGTTAACGAGAAAATCTGAAACAAATAATTTCTCTACACTTGCATAGGTTTATCTAAATAACGAGTTAATGTTATTTATCTTTTTGTAGCTTCTCAAGTATTTTCACTATTTCAATTGCGTTTAGTATCATCTTTCCAAAACTTTTATAAAACGTGTTGTCACAGTTTAAGATATATAATATTATTTTTGTTTACCTAATGTAAAGAATGTTTCCTACTGAGAAAAACATAAATTATTAAGAAATAAGACTTATTGAAAAATATATGTTACGTAAGTTTTATCAATTGTTCAAACAAAAACCTCTCGCCCCTTTTTGTAATGTTAAATGTTTCATAAAGACGAGTAAAGAGGTCAACAGTTAACCCTAATAATCAATTATGGTAATTAAGATAAATTTTATTTTACGCAAATTGATTGCCTTAAAAATTAAAATTCTGTTTCGAATGGAAAGAGTATGTATATGAGAATGAAAAAGAAGAGGAGTGACAGAGAAAAAGAGAGTGAGCCTAAAATTTGAATTTTTTTTTATAGTTTTATAGCACCGTTTATAGAACAATTTATTCTGTTATGAAGTTAAATTCTATCTCGTTGATTGATGGAAAGAGTACAAGTTGTTGTTTTGAAGAAATTTAAATCTCATTAAAAAAATAAACATCCGCGAAAATATTTGTTCCTAAATTTTTATCTTGTTTTTATTAAATACACTATTGTGTTTATTATCAGTTGAAAGTATTCTTTGTTGACACCACGACCGTTTTATCACTGTAGTTGTGCTTTATCAAATAGTTTCATCGGTTGTGAATTTGTTCTATATTAATATTACAAGAGCATTACAATCTCGATCAAAGAATGACAAAATTTGTTGAAAATTGAGTATTTTGACTACTTTAGTGGGCCTGCATATCAATCGATCCCTTGATCATCGATCATTAACATTTTTTCAAAGAGAATGACTGAGAAAAAGTGTGTAAGCTGTGTATGTGTGTGGATAAAAATGGCGCCGTTTGTTTTTTCTTCGGCGTTTTCGAAGATTTTTTCTTCGACTAATGCAATTATCGCTATCACATTACTAAATGTAACTATATGGTTAAACATTACGATGGAAAGTTGTTGGCTGAATTACAAGTTTTTATTACAATAATATCGTTCCAAGTAAATCGATGTTGGTACTGATATTCCGTTCCGAATTTCTTAAATCGTGTTTCATCGTAGAATATGTATTCAATTCGAATACAAATTTAAAGTATTCTTATAATACGTAATTCAAAGCACTCTGTAGCGTACAACGTATAATATATTTCAAAAATTGAATTCTTTAAAATTTCTTTGATTGGCATAAACGTGTATTCGCCACTTGTTTACGATGACACGGTTTAATAGAATCTGAATGAAATTTTATCGGATCCCATCGTCGTTCTTTACTTAAAAAAATATGGCGTCCGAAAAGAGACGACAGTGGTAGGAATAAATGGCATGCAAAATGGCTAGAGAGAGACCGAAGGAGAAGTCTCGGAATATGACTTGTATCACGCGTATCGCTTATTGACGTTTTCATTATTGCATCTGCATCCGCACGATTAATTTATAAATAAATTATATTAAATAAGACACCGAACTAGAGGGTTTCTCTTTGTCCGGCTCCTATGATTTATTCACACCGAACAAATCGTGACGAATTTTTCATCACTGACAGAATTTTAATCTGTGGCCTACTTTCCTTTTTCTTTATTCAATTTCTCAATATAATTCAAACTATGTATATGCGTCGTTTACAGTGACTGCATAGTTTGGATAAAGTAATAAGGTAACAAACGCTTTTGAGATTGCTGTAATAGTAAATAGTAAACGGTCGATAAGTGTTTTTTTCTTATAGAATTCTACGTGTTGAGAGTTAGACTATAGATGGCGCGAGGTGTTTCGAAATTACATTTAGTATTCCACGCACACAATCGGTATTGCAATCTGAGATCACGTGACGGATGAATTACTCGATACGCTTGCGCGACCTTGTTGCAAGGTGACCGCCCCAAAGCTGCCAGCCAGAGATACGCGTGTTATTCGCTTCTGAGCAGCGTGCACGTAAACATCTATCGAACGCCGGCGTCCACGAATGCGTCGTGAATACCGGTCAGTTTTGTGCCTAAAGATAACAGAAGGATCGCATCTCGCTTGTAAACGATTGCTACCCGTGAAAGGACGCGCCAAGATCGGGTTCGGAATCTGTGTATAACGCTCGATTCAATACTAAATTTTGTAAAAAGAAACAATTTGCGTTAATGAAAAACTAGTCGAATCTAATTTGAAGTGTCAAGCATAAACATCGCGAGTATCGACAACATCGAATCTTAAGCAAAAGTGAAAGAAATAGAGATGTCGGCCTCAGAAGTTGATCACGAGAAGAGAAAGCAAATCTCTGTGCGTGGAATTGTTGACGTTGAGAACGTCGGAAATTTTAAGAAAACATTCAACAGACATCTGCATTACACACTTGTAAAAGATCGTAATGTGGCTACAAGCAGAGATTACTTCTTTGCGTTGGCCCACAGCGTCAAGGACAACCTAGTGTCAAGATGGATACGCACTCAGCAATATTATTATGAGAAAGACCCTAAGGTATGTCGCAAGTATGTAACGTTTCACAAATAAATATTCCGAATAAATATGGATACAGAATATCCTACTTAACGTCTGCTGGTAAGTATTTCCGTAATTATCCAACGTTTCCTATTAATCTGTATCTTTGCGCATTCATTCTTAAGTCTGACAAATGGAAGAATCGACTTAGCTAAGGGAAGAAACTTTACGAGAGAACGAGAGACGCTCACTTTTTTATTCTTACCGCTACTTTCATTGAATTCCTACAATTGGCAGACACTTTCTGGCAACAATGAATAAATAATCTCATGTTACTTTCCAATAATATTTTAGGAATGTCCAATGAGACAACTGCTAACTTTTATTGCGAAAAGAAGAAAGTATTCCACGTGAAATTCGGGTAAAATAAAAGAAAAACAAAAGTCATGCTTTTCGGGAGGCTGGGCGAATCGAAGATCGATTTTTCACTGATACGAATTGATCCATCGGATATACAAGAACTGAAAAAAAAATAGAAAATCGTCCGAAGAGGATCGATTTTTTTTAGAAAAATTGATTTTTATAATCGAACATTAATATGCTGTCGCACTTTAATCTTCCGATCGAGGACGTGGAAGAATTCCCCTCGACAGGACAACTCGTGAAAGGTCTTTCAAGTCGATTTTTTCATTAACTGGATCTCAATGTAACATAACACAACCGATATGTGTCAGTGTCACTCCTCGTATCGATATATGATGTAATTATGTATAATCAAATAAAAATTTCGCATATTCGTGCTTTACATACACAGGACGAAATTGAATAAATAATTTTGATTTAGTACACTTGGAATTTTCGTACATAATATATTTATTACGTTTCTATTTCTGAAGCCATGGTAATCGATACAGCCTTAAGTATTTCTTATTTGTATACGATAAAAAATCAACGTATAATAAACGTCAATTTCTAAAGATTCTGATTTCTCGTATGCGTGTTTCGCTGTCTGCAATACATGCGTTGCCGGCCAATGACTTTTTCAGCCAATCTAATTATAATTGATCTAATATTTCAATCAATAAACAACAATCGTCGCGTTCCGTACCAGCTACATATGTCTAACATACACATTCATAAAATTAAGACACACGCACGAACGAATCGTAAAATGTTTACTTGTTTAGAACAACGTGATTCGCGAAAAATAAATAACAGGATGTCAAATCGAATTTCTAGTTCAAGGAAAATTTTCGCAACGGTCACGACTTATTGGTACAAATACATGTGCAATACTATTTATACGATAAACATTATATGTATATCGTAATGAACCTTCAAAACGCAGTTGCAGCGTCTATTTTGGTTTGGCCTTAGTATCGCCTCGCTCTAAGGTTTCGAGCCAAACTGTTTCCATTCTCTTCCTACAATCAATGTCACGTCGACGATAAGAGCGTTTGATTTTTGAAACCAATCCAATTGTATCGATCAATTATTAATAATTGTTTATCAATTTTCCCGAGGTCGTTGTGCTTGTTATATGTATATTTTGCAACGATCATCTAGCTCTAGCAACGATAACCTTCTAAATATAACTCATTGTATATTTCAACTATTTTGCAATAATTCAGTAATCATTTCTAAGTAATTCTCATGTTCCACGAATCATTGTTTATTTAATTTGGATTTGGATTGTAAGTAGAGAGAATGAAAGCACGATTAGATAGCGAAAGAGAGATTTGGTAGAGATGATGAGATTTGGCTCGGTTATAGATTTGGAAAATGGCCAAGGAGGAAAGAGAGAAAGATAATAATAGGAAATTCAGAAAAGACATTCCATGCTACTTTTTTCATGACAAACGTAAAGAAAAGTTAAAAGTTAAAATTGGCCATCAAAAAATAAAAGAACAAAATGATGAATTAGGTTATGCACGGAAAAAATGAAGGGAAAATATTATTTATATGTACAGTTATGCACAGGCAAACTGGAATAAAGTATTATTATTATTATTATTCATAAGTATTATTTACTATATAAATAGATAAAGTAGAAAGAAGCAAAAGGATGGATATTCAAACTGTAAAATTAGCCTTTACTGTTATACGAATAAATGAATTCAGTTACATTACTAAACAAATTATACATGTCCATAACGAGCGATTGAAGGTCTGCGAGACATTCGTGATCTTAATACGTGATGTTTAATTACGGAAATTACTTCAACAACATGAATCACGTGATGGAACTATTAAAAGCTGACAAGTCACGTTTCACACGCTCTCCCTTCGATCCAATTTTTGAACCGAGTCCTATATTTTTCGCAAATGTTTTAGGGGCTCCCCGAAGCTTCGAACATTCCACAAATTATCACCAAGTACCTTGGAAATCATGACTTTTTACAGAAGTTTTTTATTTAGATTTAAACGATATCGAGTACACTCTAAAATCATTCATGTGATCTCGATAAATAAACGGTTACGAGTCGAGGAAAAATCAAAAATACATGTTTCGATTTTAACTTTCGTCTGACCCAGTTTTAAGACGAAGATGCCATTTATTTTCATTCGTAGACCACTAAAGACATACAAGACGAGATTTATGTTAATTGATTTCGTAACAGAAGTACTGATGACATAACAAGACTTAGTTTATGGAGGCTGTTACATTACAAGGCCAATAACTTTTATTTTACTGAATCATAGGTC